TATCGGCGTGTATATATATATAATATATATATATATATATATATATATATATATTATAAGATTAATACAAGATAATCCCGAGCTGAGTTGAAACGATGTAATTATCTGAGAATCAGGACACACTGGATAAATTTACCGAAATTAACGGATAAAAGGAGTGAACCGGGACGTGGCAAAACCAAAGTCGCAAGTTTAACAGTGAAATTACACATTTTTTACTTAAGTAACTGGGAAGGTGTGTTCCACCCTCTTATGATAGACCGTGTCAACAATACACCGACCATAGTCGTCGTCACGGTAACAGACTAACAAGCGGCCGCCGTCGCCGCTACGTCCTACGCTAGGTGGCGCTGTGCTGACGTACCTTGACCTTGGCCTCGCGGAGCAGCGCCGGGTCGCACGGCGACGTAGGCGGCGTCAGCGAGACAGAGGAGAGGTTGGCTGCGGAGAGGGCGCTCGAGTTTGGCAGCGATTTCTGCTGCGTGAGCTGCGCGGCGCGGGGCGTCGTTGTCCCTGAGGTGGCCACCTGCGTCTGGGGCGGCGGGGAAGGCGTGCTCGGGTCCACGACAACCACGTAGCAAGACGGGTAGCACATCCTCACGCCACCTGCAATGTCGAGCGCAAACGATCACGGACCGTACAATGTGAGAGTTCAAAATGAAACATATCTGAGGTAGTTCGAATTGGTGGCTTAGTTAAATTAGGTATGAAAAAATGGTAGCTTTAGATATTAGGTATTTCAGCTATGCAGATCACATAAGAAAATACTATATTTAAGATGAGCAAGTGTGAACTATTTACAATGGCTGTGATGGCACAGAGGAGCATGACACCTACGCACAATGACTGTGACAGCGCGGGGGGAGTGTGGCACCTACCCACAATGACTGTGACAGCGTAGGGGGGAGTGTGGCACCTACCCACAATGACTGTGACAGCATGGGGGGAGTGTAACACCTACCTACAATGACTGTGACAGCGCGGAGGGAGTGTGGCACCTACCTACAATGACTGTGACAGTGTGGGGGGGAGTGTGACACCTACCTACAATGACTGTGACAGCGTGGAGGGAGCGTGGCACCTACCTACAATGACTGTGACAGCGCGGGGGGAGTGTGACACCTACCCACAATGACTGTGACAGTGACAGCGCGGGGGGAGCGTGACACCTACCTACAATGACTGTGACAGCGCGGGGGGAGTGTGACACCTACCCACAATGACTGTGACAGCGTGGGGGGGGGAGTGTGACACCTACCTACAATGACTGTGACAGCACGGGGGGAGCGTGGCACCTACCTACAATGACTGTGACAGCGCGGGGGGAGTGTGGCACCTACCCACAATGACTGTTACATCGTGGGGGGGGAGTGTGACACCTACCTACAATGACTGTGACAGTGCGGGGGGAGCGTGGCACCTACCTACAATGACAGTGACAGCGCGGGGGGGAAGTGTGACACCTACCTACAATGACTGTGACAGTGCGGGGGGAGCGTGGCACCTACCTACAATGACTGTGACAGCGTGGGGGGAGCGTGGCACCTACCTACAATGACTGTGACAGCGCGGGGGGAGTGTGACACCTACCCACAATGACTGTGACAGTGGGGGGGGGGAGTGTGACACCTACCTACAATGACTGTGACAGCACGGGGGGAGTGTGACACCTACCTACAATGACAGTGACAGCGTGGGGGGAGCGTGGCACCTACCCACACTGACTGTTACAGCGTGGGGGGGGGAGTGTGACACATACCTACAATGACTGTGACAGCGCGGGGAGAGCGTGGCACCTACCTACAATGACAGTGACAGCGTGGGGGGAGCGTGGCACCTACCTACAATGACAGTGACAGCGCGGGTGGGGGGAGTGTGACACCTACCTACAATGACAGTGACAGCGCGGGGGGAGTGTGACACCTACCTACAATGACTGTGACAGCGCGGGGAGAGCGTGGCACCTACCTACAATGACTGTTACAGCGTGGGGGGGGGAGAGCGGCACCTACCTACAATGACTGTGACAGCGCGGGGGGAGCGTGACACCTACCTACAATGACTGTGACAG